TAAAATATCAGTTGGAACATTATACACAGTTTTGATTTTTTCTATTCTTTCTAACCATATTGCAACATTCTGGCTTTTGTCTGTGCCTGAAAATTCCGGCATTAAATTTGATAATTCACTGTTAGTAATTTTTATGGGGTTATGTGTCGGCATCTGATTTTCTGGACCGGCAATTTTCTTTTTCTCTTCATAATCGAGGATTGCCTGTACCGCTGTATGAACAATTTCAGCTATACTCGCCTGAGCGACGGTGTTTCCACTTGTATTTTCAATTTCGGTGTCTGATCCCGGCATGGCTATCGTCAATACTAAACACAATTTTTAAATCTGCAAAAATATCGGCGATCCACGTAATCCCACTTCTGATTCTGTAGGCTCCGTTAATAAATAATATTGTTCTAGTTTTCTTAAGTTTATTTAGCGGAAAGAAACACTAATTGTACATAATTCGACATAATAGTTTTCATAACATTCAGATGGCCATAATTCATCATCACAAGTGTCAAGTCTAAACATAAAGTGTGTGGTTATCTTCTTTTTTTTCAAATTGAGTGACAATCAGATCTGTCAATGGCGCGAAATTCAAATAAGACTACACAGTGTTTTATTATTACATAAAATGGATTTTCATCATGTAACGGTCGAATCCATCAATTATATTTTCTTTTGTTTTAAACATAATAGATGAAAGTTGAATTTTGTGCAAAATATTTTTGCGATAAACATTAAGTTTTACTGAAGTCAAGTCTTTCTGCTTTATGAAATCCTCATACATATTGTATTATATTTTTTGCAGTGATAGGTCACCCTCTACATATATTTTCTGTTAGTATCAGCCCTATAATAATGGCTTTCTATTACAGGGAACATATTAATATGCTCTCTAACAAGATTGGCAGATGCATCTGATGTAACTTTTTTTCTATGCTTCCCTTAAACACTTTGACGAATTGTCCTCGTTTCTGTACAATTTTTGTAAACAGTGTATATAGGTTTTTGACTTATACACCTAGCGTTTCGCAGAAAAACTGTTTGCAAACCTGTATTTTATTATTACTTAAAATAAAGACGAATTTAAAAGCTTTAGTTTTTCTTTTGAGTTTTGGACATTTTTTTCTTCGCTGTGGAATACTCATTTCAGTTGTGCTTAAAATAAACATCCTTTTTTCACTGCTACTAAGTAGTTGTAATATTCAGAAACATTTTTCTGTCTTCTTCGCTTATATTTTTGGCACATTGGTGCCAAACTTGCTCTCTCTTTCTAGTATTAACTTCTTTCGTGAAGGAATGTATTCTAGTCCTCTATCAAAATTTTGTTAGTAATAAAACTGATGACAGTTTCTATAGACCACATAGGACCATGTTATTTGAGTTTTAAAATTTCACTAAAATTTTGCGAAAAACAAAGTTGTATGCTTAACATAGGACTATGATGCGCTCTTTTCATATTTTCATAACATACACCAATAATTTTCGATTATTTTTATAGGATTGCATGCATATATTTTAGATTTACAAAGTTCTATGGGTGCTTTATGATACATAGAACCTTGTTATCTTAAAATTGCTGATTTTTTCAATTTGTTACATACACCCTTGCAATACTCAGGCAGTGAACTGTTATACTGGATAACACAAAACATGCTATATAGCCAGAAAAATGTTATACAATACTGTGTTTTAAAACTTTTTTATTTAAAATTCTTTAACAAATTACAAAACTTTGGTATTTAACATGTTTTGTTACATAATCTGGACCCGGCTTAAGGTTTTTCTCCAGAATGCACTCTCGAATGAATCTTCAAATTATTTTCTTGAGAAAACTGCTTAAAACAAATTTCACACTTGTAAGGTTTTTCTCCAGAGTGTTTTTTAATGTTTATTTAAATGACATTTACAAGAAAATTGCTTAATGCAAATGTCACACTTGTATGGTTTTTTTTCCCGGTGTGCACTCTTAAATTTATTTTTAAATTACCTATTTGGCTAAACTGCTTAAAACATATTTCACACTTGTAATGTGTTTCTCCAGTATGGAATCTCATATGTACTTTCAATGAATCAGCATGTACAAACAAACAAACAAATTTCACACTTGTAAGGTTTTTCCCCAATGTGACATTTAATGTGTTCAATTAAGGAAGATTCACAAGTAAACTGCTTAAAACAAATTTTGCATTTGTAAGTTCTTAATCGAGTGTGTGATTTTATATGTTGTTTCAAATTACTTGCTTTACTAAATTGATTAGAACAAATTTCACACTTGTAAGGTTTTTCTCCAGTGTGATGTCGCATATGTTGTTTCAAAGTACCTGCTTGAGAAAATCTCTTGAAACAAATTTCACACTTATAAGGTTTTTCTCCAGTGTGAACTTTCATGTGTACTTTTAAGGAACATTTATTAGCAAGCTGTTTACAACAAATTTCACATTTAAAAATACCTTCTCCAGTGTGAATCTTCATATGTTGTTTCATATTACTAGCTTGAGAAAACTGCTTAGAACAAATTTCACACTTGTAAGGTTTTTCTTGAGTGTGAAATCTCATATGCAGTTTCACATTACATCTTTGAGAAAACTGTTTAAAACATATGTCACACTTGTAAGCTTTTTCGCCAGTGTGCGATTTGATATGTTGTTTCAAATTACTCGCTTGATTAAATTGCTTAAAACAAATTTCACACGTGTAAGGTTTTTCTCCAGTGTGTGTTCTCAAATGTTTTGTCAAATCACTTTTTTGAGAAAATTGCTTAAAACAAATTTCACACTTGTAAGGTTTTTCTCCAGTGTGCGCTCTCAAATGTAATTTCAAATGACTCGCAAAAGTAAATTGGTTTAAACAAATTTCACACTTATAACGTTTTTCTTCAGGGTGAACTTTCATATGTTTTTTTAAATAATGGGCCCGAGAAAACTGCCTAAAACAAATATCACATTTAAATGTTTCTCTTTCAGCACATCGACTCATATGTTCGTCTGTATCATATGAACTTAGATTTTCTGTTCCCACCATTTCCAATGTGTCCTCCCCTTCAAGCAAGCCTAAAATAAAAATCAAAATATATATTTTTCTCAGGGGAAAAATTTAAAGCATTAACTGACTACAAAATAAACATTTTAAAAATTCTGTATCTATTGATTGAAGTACAATATAAAAATAATTATGATAAAAATATTTTTATGTTGTTCTGTCTGTTCAGAGATTAAGTGAAGCACGATGTGGTTTATCCAGCTTTATTTAACTTAAAAACTCACATACTTAGGCTCCCTCATCACCAAGGAGAATGTCACTATGGAAGAAATCAAGCGAAGAATAATCCTAGCAAACAATCAATGTTGACATATGGAACGAAGTATCCTGAGAAGAATATTCAGTGGCATCTATGAAAATGGTGTTTGGAGAAGGAGGTACAACTACGAGATATATCACAGATATAAACATATATTTAGTGGTGTATAGATGTAGTATCTCTTATAAAAATAGGAAGACTAAGATGGGCAGGACATCTGGCAAGATCACAGGAGAACAACCCTCCTAGAAGAATACTTATGTCACAACCTGTGGGAAGTAGAAGTAGGCCAAAACTCAGATGGAGGATGGTGTAGCTGAGGATGGTAGAAAAATAGGTGCAGCTAACTGGCAACAGTTGTCTCATGTGTCTAATCTGTCCTCCTTTTTGAGGATAGATGGACCATTTACGAGGAGGAGAGTTGGACCAGTATTTTATGTTTTAGGATTATGCCCAAAAAATATATTTGAAAATAAAATACACATAAGATGATCTCTAGGGAGCTTAGTGATGCCGTAGATGCTGTAAAGAATGCTGATATGGGTATTAATGAAGCTGTCAAAGCATTTGGAATACCCAAAATGACTTTTAAATGTTGAATAAAAACAAACAACATGGATAAGATGAACCAATTGGGTCCAGATTGCTTTTTAGGAACTGCTGTTAAAGCTAAAATTGTTAGCCATACAAAAAATACAAAAAACAGGTTTTGCACCAACCAGAACTAAAGTAAGAATCATGGCCTTTAATGTAGCTCAGCGATTAGGAATCGCAAATAAATTGAATGTAGAAGGTAAATTTTTAAATTCAAAAATCTGATACAAGAGTTACTTATTGTCTACTTTTAGGTAAAATTGGTAAAAAAAGGTTAGAACTCTTTTTGAAAGCAAGACCTGAAATTTCAATTAAAAAAGCTGAGAACACCTCAACTTCGAATCAAATGAAAAGGAACTTCTTTTAAAACTGTAAATAATTACTTAGTTCTTCCTAGGTATTGACATTTAAAATTTTTTTTTATAGCATGTTACCTTTTAGTTGGAAAACAATTCATGACAAAGCTTCTTACACCTATAGCAAAGAGAAACTAATACTGTCAATGAATTATTAATCTGTATTATTGTTAGATTGAAAGGTCCAACTTGAAATAGATTAAAATTAAGCAAGAAAAGGGACAAAAATCAAAATGAGTGGTTGTTTTAAGGGTACAATAGAGTGGCAAAATGATGTTACATTGTAATGATGTATGATGCATTGTATTGAGGAATGTAAGTATACATAGTCATATCTCAACAGTTATACAGTAACAATCCTACTGAAATAGGTCTTAATGAAAAATATGAGTAGATATTTGTAAAAATCACTAAGTTTCAACAAGATTTTACAAAAATTATAGGAATATTTTAACAAAAAACTTAAATTTTTAATCACTTATATATCAATATTTGAGAACCATTTAATCTTGTTTTAGGATGGTTAGCATAAAATTGTTGTTAGAGATATTATGTATCAATACATATTCTATCCATTCATTGGTGGTTCATAGCTCTCATCTTCTTGGTAAAGTTGTAATATACATCCCATGAAGGGTTCTGAGTTAAATTAAATTGTAAATATGTTGTTAAGATCAAAACTATATACAATGGTAAAAACATTAAATTTATATTCCTTGGTAAGATGCATGAATAACATTGAGAACAAGCATTCTTGTTATTTACTTACCCTTTTCACTTTTTTGTTTTCCTTTAAATGGCCAAAGTTCACTTTCATCTTTAATTTCAGTTTTTTTAGGGAATTCCTTTAAGTCCAAATAATCAATTGCATAATGTGTACTTTCTATATTGGGATCCTCTTTTTGACATTTAAGGCTATCCCTATCCAGAACAGCATCATCTGCTTTATTAGAGTACACTTCTTCTTTACAGGTATTATCATTACATTCTTGTTTTACTTCCATCTGATATTTCGATAATAATTTTACACTTCGAAATGATCAATACTTTTTATTATATTTATTATTACTAGAAATATCACCGATAACAATAATGAATTTGGTAAAAATCAAGGCAGGGAAACGTTATTTTTGTAATTTTTTGGACTTAAAATATTTGTTATGTATGGCTTCCTACTCACTTTATAATGCTCTAAAATGACGGATTCTGTATAATGCATATTTTTTTCTATAATTCTCGTTTAAAAATTGCGTATTTTGACATCAATTTTTAAATATTTCGTCCATTTTGATTATGCTGATGTGCTGTGCACTTGCACCTTGCGTGTTGTTAATTATTACATTAATTAATTAATTGTCATGTCACTTTTATATCAATGTTGAAATGTTGCCATATTTTCAACATAACATTATATTCTTTGATAACATTATATTGGGCGCGTTCAGCAGACGGAGCAGCTACCGCTCCGCTACTTCCGAATCCATCGTAAAGCGCTGGACCAAACGTCATAAGTCAAAACCTGCTGGATTCCGCTACCGCTACCTTATCTGTCAATGTCAAATAATTTGTCATTTTAAAATTAAATATTTTGATTATGTTTTAGATTGCCAATTTAGCTTGACTTTTAAATATTATTAAACTTTACGTCCATTACTAGCGACAAGGAATAATATCCGCTAATTGAAAATGTTGTGGATCAGTTGGCACAAACTGAAGAATTAGAGCTGAATAATGCTGAGAGAGCTCAAGTTCCTCCTAATCAAAATTTTTATGAGGAAACCATTCCCCAATATATGGGAGATCTTTTTAATAGGCGATAAAGCATTTTCGCATGAGTAGGGAATGTGCTGAAGTAGGTTTTAGTAAAGATTATTAGTTCTTTGAAAACTACATATAAATGTTTTAGGTAATTACCCAGCAACTAGGAAATTTAGGAGTTATACCCATTGGAGCTACAATTCCTTTAGATAAAAAAAGTGCTGTTCACCACCTGGGTTTTAGCTAAACCAGAATCGTTTGTAGCCTGTGGCGGCAGGTTCAATATAGCCAAGAGTACAGCCCATAGTGTATTTTTAAAGAAATTGTGTCAGCAATCTTATTATTAATGCCTCAATATATAATGTGGCCAGATAACCATAATGAAGCAATAATGGTAATAATAGACTTTGATCCACAGACTTTCTGAAAACTGAAGATGAAAAGCAAAGAATGGGCAAACTTACCTCAAGAACAAGTTGATGCTTTGATTAGAAGCATTCCCCGTCAGATTGAAGCTTGTATTAGAGCTAGAGGTGGTAACACTGACTATTAAAATGAACAACAAGACTGTATCTTTTTTTAGTCAACCATTGCAATGTTTTCATTTGTTCGTGTTTTTGTTAATTTAATGTATTTGTAACATTTTTTTGATTTTTTTTATAGTAATTTAGCTGGTTTAGTATAAAATGTAGTTCATTTTTCATTAAAAAAAATTTAGTAATACTTTACAAAATCGGAAATACTGGGTGATTCCATGTGTATATTATTGATTTTTATTAATTATTATTGATGTGTGTATATTATTAAACTATATCCCATACATTTCTTGACAACTTTTCTCCATCTTCCTTAGAGATGATAATTTAATTTACTATTTTTGCCCAGGTCTATGTACATTTAAAACTTGTTTGCATCTGTAGGTAATATAAATAATAATAAAAAATAAATAAAATTTGGTTTATATGTGCAGCTTGTTGGGACTCAATAAAGAGTACTTTTTTCATGCACAAGAGTATATTTTCATGCATAAATACTACATGTAAAATGAATGAAGTTAATATAATTAAGATATTGTTAATTGTGTGTGTGACAGTATGCAGAGAGATTTGGCTTCAAAACTATGTTCATTAGCCACAAATCATATCAATAGCATATTAACTTTTAATTTAATGTATTGTATTACCTACTTTTTACCTAAAGGTTGCAATATTTAATGAGTTGTCAAAATTTAGATAGCCTCATAAGCCTTAGTTTCCTATTATTCACTATCATTATGTGCCATGCAACAGCACGGAGTATGAAGGAGAGTAGTTCTTCTGTGATGTGGGTATTGAGATATATCTCCCTTTTTATGTATGGTGCAAGTATTTCAATCGCTGGGGAGGGACTGCTGTATTCATATTTCTTTTCTAGGCTGCTGTGATGCCACTGCCAGTGATATTCGAACTACCTTCTTTATATAGATCTGCTGGAAAATTAGTTACTCTTGGCCCAATTACTACCTTATAAATATTTTTACTTGTTAATTGAAAAATATGACAGACCCCTATTTTATATTTGATGCCATTCAATCTAGTGTTATAAAACATAAAAGAGAGTGGTAGTTTTAGGTAGTTAGACTCAGTATTATAGAGTTATTAGGATGTAAATGTAAGTAATAGAATTAAAACGGTATTAACGAAATGAGTGGAGTTCAGTGTGATGGAAAAATACTAATAAAGCTAATAGGTAAACTCAACAGGACCTATTTATTATTAAATATATTGTTAAATGTAAAGTGTGGATACAAGGAGAAGTCTCAGAGTCATTTAAAACTAACCGAGGTCTGCTTTGGGAGATGCACTATCATGCTTGGTATTAAATCTACTGTTAAATGCTGCAGAAAATCTTGGAAGGAGGCGACTGAAGTGTTGTGATAAGGATAAGAAGGTACCAGTAAAACTAAAGGACAGGCTCTATAATACTGTCTTGAGACCAGTGATTATATATGGTACTGAATGTTGTACAGTAAATAGGAATAAACAGAAATTACATGGCTGAAATGAGCATGCTTCATTGGGTGAGTGGAGTAACTAAAAAAGATGAGGTGAGGAATGAGTATTTAAGAGTAAGTTTGGGTGTGGCTTTTATTAATAAAATGAGGGAACATCTATTAAAGAGGCAAAAAGGCAAATAGAATGATGATACTTGTAAATATTTTGGTTCATTAATATTTATGTTATATTTACAAACTTTTCTTACTTAGCTTATAAACACCCTTTCCTCTGTAAAATCATTAATTTTAATAAAACAAAAGCTACTAAAAATATATCATTTTATTTACATTATACAAGTTTTATTTACAGTGCTATAAATGCAGTTAATACAATAAACTGATTTGGAAAAAGAATATATGAATAGTACAATAACAAAAAAACAACATATATTCAAAAAATTTTTTTTACTGAATACACTGAAGTGTACTTACATTAAAATCTGGTCAGTAAGACCAATTATCAATTTGTTTCTAACTTAAATTACTAATGAAAACTTAAAATTAGGTGTCTACTCACTAGTATCTTTCCTATTATTTCTAATAACTAGCATTAAATTTAGCATGCATACTCGCACAACACTTTGCTATGCTTTTCACTCACTCACTATACCAGTTCAAAAGGCTTTGTTCTTTTGAGCCTTCTCTCTAGGTTCGTATTATCGAGGAACTGGATAGCCTCGACGTTTACATGATGGAGACGTTGTTCATGGCTCCCTGCAAATTTCTTGATTATCTGATTGACGTCTTCCATCTTGAGGTCCCTGTAAAGATTGTTGTTCCTAACGTACCAAAACATTTATACAGTGGAGTATAACAAACTTAATCAAAAACCCAACATACAAACTTATCCCTCTGTTAAACCGGTAGAACCTTCAACAAATGTATACCAGAACACAAAAGAGCTTTCAACAACAAAAAACACGAGTCTACATGCACACTTCACCTTTTATATCATAACAACATACAACTTATTTAGACAATACAAATGTCGCCAATTTCCAAAAAATGTAAAATAAAAACAAAACAAACACCTAACCCTCAATTTTAGTACCGAAATGTCAAGAATGACATTTCTCTCAACATGTTGGATGGATGTAGCGATACTTTTTTACGCTACCAAATTTGACAGGCCGCTCCGGAAGTAGCGCCGCGGTAGCGGTTGCATTTTGCAGACTTTTACTCAACAGTTGTGGAGCAGCTCCGTCTGCTGAACGCGCCCATTGTTTCTTGCAAAATTTTGTAAAAATACAAATATAAAATATGATATGTATACTTCATCTAATTTACTCACGTATGCACGTCATTATCATTGACAGAGATCGAAGTTGACATAATTGCCAAAGTATAAAAAAAATCCGGACTCCATTTTAAATCAAATAGGTCACATAATTATTGCAAAAGTATTACCATCTCTTTACAACGACTATTTAAATTCTTAATTGACATTTTTGAAATAAAACACACTAATTTTGTTCTAAAAAAGCACAGATTTTATTAAATAGGACAAGAGGTATTCACTAAAATTCAAAATAATAAAGTACAAAAAGTGTCAACACCGCACCGCAACTATCAAATAAGTGTTACCAATTTATGCCAAAATATTACCTTCGTTCGATTACAGTTACAGTGTGTTCCGAATAAATGTTCGTCATAAGAACGCTTTATAATGCATTCATACAAATTAAATGAATTATATTATTGTATATTTTTTTAAGTTAACATTAATAGAAATCTTTAAATATTATTTCTACGCGTATATAATTAAATATGTCTAGTATTTAAATATATCTAGATTTTTATTTTGCACCCCAGCTTTTGCTAACAATCAGGAATGCCCACTCTCAGATGCCGCCTTTGAAGTTTTTCAGCACGCGCGCCATGTTTATATTTAATTATATTTAGGTGTGTTATTATATTTAACAATGTTAATATAATTGTATAGTGTGTCCATGATTGCCATAAGTCAATTAAACCGGGTTATTTTTTGCATGCACACCACTGGTTCCCTTTAAAACATGGCGGAATGTTCGCGCGAAGGAAATGTGCGTACTTAATTTTCCATTTCCATTAAGCATTTTATGTATTTTACATTAAAATGAATGAATATAACGAACTATTGATTTCTTTAGTGGAAAAATGTATGATCGATGCAGTAAGGGGTATAAAGATGAGCCATTGCAAAACAATAGTAGTTGTTCTATTGCAGAATAT